TTGGAATTACCTTTTACTGGATTCAATCCTAGAAATTCTGTACCTTCATCCTGAGATTCTGCACACGCTTTGATTTCCATCTTTAACTCTCTCACCTCCACTTGACTTCTGACATACCCCACCATTCTCCAATACAGACTTCCTCTGAGTCAGTTTAGGTATCTCCCATGTATACCATGCCTTCATGCCATTCTAGAATGGCTTTCTTATGTTTCTTCCAATTAAGGACAAGTTAGGGGTGAATATGATCTAAAAATGTGGCAAATTTTTAAAAATCTGCTCCTCCCACAACCTGTAAGTTTCCCGAGGTTGGGGACTGTGCTAGACACTTACAGACACTTATGTCTGGCACATAAAATAGGAACCTTCATTCCACAAAGTTATTGAATAATTAGCATTAGTGTCTGCCAAAGTTTGCATGTACATGCATTAGAGCATGAACAGATACTTGTTCAATAAAAGAACAACAGATTTACCTTACATTCAAACTTTAATTTAGAATTAATAGAATTAGTTCTCCTGGTTGATCAAGTTAGATACAAGTTTTAGTTCCAACTTGTCTACTTCTCAGAATCCTGGCAGGAAGCAGATGGCACCCTCAAAGGATAACTGAAGAGAGTTAATGAAAAGACTTCTTACAAGGTGGAGGCAGGTTTTTAGGGAAGGAAGGAATAATAAAATATCTAACCATTATGGTCCTAGGCCTGAAGGCATAAAGGGGAGCAGCAGCTTCTGCGATTTTGCCAGGCCCATAGTCATGGGATAGAGGTGTCCACTGGGAGCCACGGGCCTTGGTGGAAGAAAGAAGCTGCAGCCATGGGGGAGAGAAAAACTATTCTGAATTCCCCCCTACCTTTGATCTTTTACCAATGATTGCTTCCTAAACTGGCTGAAACCAAACAGAGGCAAGAGGGTAAGGGAGACTGAGTGATGTGGTCCACAGCCAGTCAGAGTACCAATTACCATTTGAAGAAGCAGAGTTGGAACAACCTTGACCTAAAAGATAAAGGGAAATGATTCAAACAGAGCTATGTCAGACCTGGGACAAAGAATGACAGGAAGAGAATGATTAAAAAGTAAAGAGTGGGGTGGGGCACATGTGTGCTCTAGTTATATAAGAGAGACACAAGCAAAGAAATAGAAGCCAGAGGTAAAAGGATGAGCAAAGTTGGACCAGTACCACAGTTGTGGACAGCACTGGACACGGTATTATTTTTACCACCACCTTTTTCATGTGACCTTAATACAATGGTGGAAGATTTCAAATACATTACTAACTACAGCTACCTAAATATCTACGCTCCGAGGATTGAGTGCTGGCAGTGCTGCTAACTGAGAAGCCTGTGGGTTACAGAAAGCCAGGAGTGGAGGCCAAAGAAGCAGACACATGGTGTAACAAAATCAGCGGCTAAAAGAAGTCAAGATGCCAAACAAAGAACTACATGGGAGCAAAAGGGCAAGGACAGCAATAGAAATCAAATGCCAGACCCTGATTCCATGATAAATACAGTCCTCAAACCTCACCATCCATACTGGGTGCTCTGGGGTCAATCGCTTATACTCAGTATGTCACCGATAGTCACAAATAGTGTCAGTTCAAGCTACTGTCTTTGGCAGCAGTTCTTGAAAGTAATCTACATTAAGCATTGTATTAATTTTACATTACTGGTATATTTGCCTGTAAATATCTCCCTACACAAATTTATGCTTCTGTAATAAATTCCTAAAAACTTACCACCTAACAGTCCCACTTGTTAACAATTCATTGCCATCTATTAAAAATAGGAGCCTACTCAGAGGGGAATTTTCTGAGTGCAGCATATAATAAAATTATGTGGAGACATGGGGAAAACACTTGTCCCTTTTGTCACCTCCTTGGAGGTGTTATTAGAAACTCTGGCACAGGTCTTGAGGAGGACTGCTGGCTAAGCATCACTCTAGGGTCACACTTCCTTCCTGTCTCTGGCTGCAGGATCTGTTGAAACTGCAGCAGAGAGGTGGCTACTGGCTTTTGTTGTTGTTGTTGCACTGTGAACAAATCCAGTTGAGCCATGACTGTGAGCAGCTGAGGGATAACATGTATCAAGTATTTTTGCATAATGTCCAGGACTGAAAACAGGTACTGACTGGATAGAGGGGCAGCACTGACAGACTTTCCTTATATGAGCCAAACTAACATTTAATTTTGATGAGGATTTGAAAATTGTTAAGTTGCACTCTTCAAATGTTCTTTTTAAAAAATATTAAAAAAATTTTACTTTATGAGTATATGGCCTGTATGTATGTAAGTACACCGGTGCCCTGCAATGCCCACAGAAGTCAGATATCAGATTCCCCTGGAACTGGAGTTACAGACAGTTGTTAGCTGTTATGGGGGTACTGGGAACTGAACCTGGGTCCTCTGTAAGAGCAGCCAGTGCTCTTAACCGCTGAGCCATCTCCCCAACCCCTCTTCAAATGGTCTTGGAAAATGAAGTAGCCTTGACATAGAACACTGTATCTGCAACTTAAACTTCCAAATAATTTTTCATTTAAATTTTACTCTTATACATGAGCCTTATATGAAAAGCAAATAGTAAGTGCACAGAATATGAAAAAAAATTAAAGAAAAACCAGTACTGAAACCAGTTCCTTTTTCTAGAAAATATGGAAAATACAGCAATCTGCTTTTTATAGTATCTCTGGTTTGGCACATACATTCCCGGGATGCAGTCAAAGCAGTGCTAACACTCCACCGACACCTAAGGAGCACATGCTGAAGGCTCGCTCTGTGACGCACTAATGTGTGAACCAAGGCATGTGAAGTTCTTATGACTATCTCTTAACCTCTTTAAGGTAATCTAAAACTTTTTTTCTTGTTGAGATGGCATGTCATATAGCCCAGGCTGGCCTAGAACTATGTAGCCTAGGATGATCCTGAATGCATCATCCTCCTGTCTCTACCTCCTAAGCACTGGGCTTCCAGGTGGATAATGCCTGGTTTAATCTAAAGCTTAATAAATTTGTTTCCTTTATAAGTTGATTCTAAAGATTTTTTCCTGTTATTTCTTAAGATAAAGTAACTACCACATAAGAATCAGGTTTAAAGCAATACTTTATTATGAGATTTTCTTTTGTCTACTGACTTTCTGGTAGAGATTTCAAATATCTTCAAGAATATTGCCTTAAGATGTATCAGCTAAATATTTAATTTATAACATACAGTTATTGGAGCCTTTCATAAAGGTGAAATTTTGTATTAGATTTGGCTTACCAATATTTTCTGAGTATTATTTTTACAAGAGAACTGAACAGAGATAATTATTTAGGGAAAAGCAAAACTGGTTTATGGAGAGAGTAAAATCAAGAGCAATCTGACCAGACATGAAGGACAGCAAGTGGGTTTCACCCTCACCTACACCATTTCCCAAGAATGTGACAGAGATACAATCTTGACTTCATTGCCAACAACAGGTACAAAGAAATTCAACAGTATTTTAGAAATCTCTATTAAATACCTACTAGATGGTTAGGCATTCTATTAGGTTTTGAGGACACAGAAATTAACAAGCCCAAAAGGTGTTACCTGACATTTCCTGTCCCCACAGTTAAACTGTTATCTGTACCCTCTTCCCTTTAACTAAACCAGTAACCACGGAAGGAAGAAAATGACTTCTATTTGGTTTGTCTCTTCACTTTTGTGTCTTTTGATTGTTAAGGTAAGGGTGAATGCCAAAGGGAAGCTTGGTAAGGACATATAGGCCAGAAAGCGAAAACTGTATGTGTCGTACTTCCCAAGTTTAAGGTGTGCTGTCTGTGCAAGAATCCCCCCCCCCTCCGGCTGGAAATTAAGGTGATTGTAAGCAATTTCTGGCAAAAGAAAAAAGTTTTGAATCTTATTCAGAAGGCAACCGAGGCCGGGCAGTGGCACATTAGTGGAATCCCTGTTACTCTTCATGTTAAGGCAGGAGGAACCCAAGTTCAAGGGTGGCCTGGGTTACACAGTGGTTTAAGGCCAGTCTGGGCAACTTAGCAAGATCCTGCCTCAAAATAAAGGGCTAGGGGTCTAGCTCAGTGGCAGGGGCACTTGCTTAGCACAAGGCCCTGGGTTCAATTCCCAGTACTGCAAAGAAAGAAATAGTGGCATCTAAAGAACATTATACAACCCTTAAAAAGATAAAATTCCCATCAATCAAAGGACTCCATTCCGGCATGCAAGAGTTCAGTTAACATGGTACTGAGGAAAATTAGCACTACCTGTATTTAAAACGATCAAGAATGATTTTGTTTTTGCCTTGAATATAGATGTGGTATATGGCAAAGAGTATGTATAGCCCCCTTGTTGCATGCACTGAAAATGTATTCACTTTCCAAAATGCCACAGCAAATGTGGGAAGCTTTTCCTCTATGTCCTGGATTAAACTTTTAAATTTCAAATTACTGGACTTTGGCCATAAACTTACTTCAGTTAATTAATAACTCTTCTAACATTTTAGGAGTGGAGATTATAATTTCTGACAAGGGGCTCAGTAATGCGACCTTCCTGTCTTGGTGTGTGTCACCATGCTCAGTTAAAAAAATTATATA